AAATTTTTATCTTCTAGAAAATAGAATTAAATAGAGTACATGGCCAACAAGAAAGGTGTCGCTGGTTTACCCCGTAAAAAATCTCTTTATTAGGCATTTCCTTCAATTGTCTTTCATTGTTTTTTTTTTTAAATAAGCAGTGTAAAACTGGATACTACTTTTTTCGTAGTCTAGGGGTCATAAAAGGTCGAAAAAAGACGAAACTGGCAAGTCGCCCTATGGACTCCTTAGCTTACCATCGGGAAGTAAAGTTCTCATAATAACAACTACTCACCGAAAATAATATTCAGAATGTTTTATTCCCTCTTTTGAAGCTTAATTAATTAATTTAGTCCTCTCTTCTGTTTTGAGGAGACAAAATCAATCAAATTTTAATTTTCGTTAACACAAATCCATACTCTGATCTGCCGCCACTGATGCTTGTTATTTGAAGGTGCTAATACTTAAACTGTTTGAAGGTATAAGTATTAATAGTCGAAGTTAAATATGCATTTTCTCCCACGGTTCGAACTTGCGCGGTTCCGTCCCCGCGGCGCATAGGTTACGGGGATTTTATTTACGCCACTAGTTTTGAATTTATGAAGATTATCACAGAACAAATATCCCAAAATCCAACTTTATATGTAATTCTTCAAAAAAGTGAAATTGTACTCTAAAGACGAAAAAAGTTCTGTCGAAATAGCCAAAATTTTGATAATCAAATTTAACAGTTTGTGGTAAAATTCTGATTTTTTTTTATTTTCTTATTAATTAGTATCAATTTTGCGTTAGGGCGGAAGTGTAGGCATCTTATGCCTGCGCCACTTTTTTGCCTGTCATAATTATCAAATTTAATTTTGAAGCTTGTCACTGAACCCGCTTCTATTGGATGGCAAGGAGTCCCATAATTCGAAGACTTTATTCGAGATAAAATGTTACCTCACTATAGAGCGAAATTAGTTATCGTTAAGTAGTTTTAAACAACGCCCTCCAGTTCTAAATACTTAGAGGGTTGATGAGAAACAGATGTTTGGTAGGCGAGTGCAGATTTTTAAGTTTCCGAAAAATGAGGATCACTTTTCATACGTCTCTAAGAAAGAGGTGGACGACGCATCATGTCAGTGGATTAAATTAGTGATAACGGAACAACGATTAGAATTTATTTATTAACCACTCCTAGAAAATTAGATGCATCATAGAAAAAATATTAAATTAATGCTTATTAAAAATGTACTGGGAGTTGCAAGGTGTTTAGATAAAGCATGTTATGTTAAAAAGGATGGTCTAAAGTTATATAGACACAATTTGCTTCAACCCTGAAGCACACTCAAATTCAGTTTCTTGAATGAATCATAAAATTCAGCTATGAGCATTTTATTTTTATTTATGATGATCTTTCAAGTTAAAATGAAAGAAGGGGCGCATGTTTAAACTAGAAGCAATGGAACATATATGTATTTTAGGTGTATTTTTTAAATAAAATTTTGTGATGATGTCATCAAATTTTTGTCGAACTGTTGGGAGTAAGTACATATTAGGTACTACCAGAGTGTATCCAGAATTTTCCAAAAGTGGGGTAAGTCGTTTTTATTACTTTATTTTATTACTTTAAATTACTCCATTCATTAGTTTTTTAAGATATCCTGGACAGGCAGTTATAAAAAATGTATATACAGTGCCAAATAATAAATGCAACCGCATAATATTTTGCACATTGTATGGACTTCAAATCTTTGAAGTTTCCTATTAACGATCTAAGGAGGGAACCATCTACACAGTGTTTCTGGAATATACTTAAAACTTCACAAGAATAGGTCCAATAGCTTCCAAGATTATCTAACTAATAAATTCGCCAAGAAACGGCATCGGCAGACGGAAACAGGAGACCTGTTTTATTATATTGTAGGAGCCATGGTAACATGTCGAGAAAGCATGATGTCAATCATTGGTCAAATGGGCCCTATTACAGTGCACAGGAAACAAAAATTAAATAATTCACCAATTAATTTTAATACAATATCACTCTTACTTCCCGAACGTAAAGACGAAAGTATTGTAATACAATTTGTTTTTTGATGTTTTACAATTCCTAGAGTCCTAGAATATGAAAAAGTAGGCCGGTCTCTCTTTTACGTTTAGACTGATTCTTGTGAAATTTTATCATGTTGATACTAAAACACTAACCAAATTTTTATCACCTCCACTAACAATTTGATGACGTCATCTAAAAATGTTGATAGGTGTATGCTTCGTAAATTTATAAAAGACTACGTCTCTACACTCGTGGCTTATACATCCGGCCTTATTTATTTATTTATTTAGGCATCTAAACTAAAAAAAAGAGTCAAAACTGGTATGCAAGATTTACTTAACAATTTAATTTAGAAACTACAAAACAAACTGTTGTGAAATTTTACAACGGTTTTAAAGTTTGCAGTAAAATACAGTACATGGTTAATCCAAATCCATCTTTTTATTCCTCCAAAAATTTGACAACGTTACCTCAAATTTTGTTGCAGACGTGCTATCTAAAACGCAAAAAAATTTATGGATCTACATTTGCATTAATATTTTTTAAGGTTATGATTTTTTTACAAGAATTGTTTTTCGTTTTCTGAAATAATAGTATTGAACAAGAAAACGATGTACGTAGATGGATCTAATCCGGTCGCTCAAATTAAATCACTCGCTCCTTCGTCGCTCGCATTCAAAAATTTGAGCTCGCTCCGTAAAAACCCACTTCACTTACCTCGCTACCTAATAGTGTTTTATTCACAATCGGTCAGTAATGTGGAACTTTCAAACTTTTTAAAAGTTTGTAAGTGAGCTATTACATACTTCACTTCAATCTCAAGGGTTGAAAGGGATATATGTCACTTATCTGTCACTTTCCATCCAAGAGATGGAAGTAACTGTCACTTTCCACCCAATAAATGGAAGTGAATGTCACTTTCGACCTTAAAACGTTATCTTTGTATAATTAATGATCCCGTGGTCAAGACTGTACCACTTATTAATGTGACTCGATCTTGAAATGTGTGGCAATTAGTAATTTTTATGAAATAGAAATGTATCTGTGTCTTTGTTATGCTGTTACTGTCATTTGGCTGTCAATTGCCTTGCTGGTAACACGTCTTCCACGACTGTTTGCCGGTTACCGGTGACACAGTGTTCTTTTCGGTCCGTTAACCCGATAATTCTAGTACAGTCTATCGTAACCTCAAATCGTAAACACATCAAACTTTCTTTGACAGTTCCTACATTTGATAGCGAAAATTACTACTCTCACGCTATCTTTGTTTAACACAGGTTAGGTTTCTCTCTGTCGAACTCCGACCACAGGCAGTTTGCCGTACTTTCTAAAAGTAATAATAGATCTAGTGACTTTGGTGCCACTTTTTGATTGGCGTCCTCATTTTATTTCACATTATTATCAACGGCCATTACCTTGAGTTTGATGTTTGTCAATGTTAAAAGTGGAATTTTATTAGCAATTTGCAGGATAAATCTACTTAAAACGATTGTGAATAAAATAGTATACAAACCTCGGCAAAAGTACTATTCCTGTGTCTCGAGAAGTCGAGAACTATTTAGGTCACCTCGGGGCTGTGCCTCTCGGTAAACTGTAGTTCTCTCGACAGGAGTGGAGTACTTTCCGCCTCGGTATGTAATATACTAGTCAAGTGTCCACACAAAGTGCCCAAAAAAATTAATTACGCAGTATTATTAACAAGTGATATAATGTAATGTAACTGTGGATAGTACTAATACATCTAATGATCATACAATTTTCTAGGTTAAATTAGCTTTCAATTTGAATTCATATTATTCTTATATTTATGTAAAAGCTGTTACTGTAAGATAAAACGTCGTATATAATACGTGAGTGTAATGCCATTATATATTCGTGAGATCAGTATCCCTCGCGCTAGCGCATTCGTGATCCTATATTCTCATTCACTTATGGTATAGACGGGGCCGTTAATAATGACCGCTTCCCTTGGCCATGGATTTCTAGGATGGACTGCCGAAGCTACGCGAACCCTTGGAGAATGCTGAAGTTCGATAAATGCAGATCTGTATTTGCGGTTGTAAACCAGCCTTGCCTTTCTCGAACGGTTCGGGTAGTTTCGGCAGTCCATCGGTAGGCGGTCATTATTAATGGCACTATCTGTACAGTATTTCTCTCACTTATATTTATAATATAAAATGTTGTTATTGATTTAATAAAAAAAAAATAACTTACTTATTTCTACGAAATTCTTGAAACGAAATTAGCTGTTATGATATTACATTATGTATTTATTTTTTGCTAGAAATACACTACAATAACACCGTCTAACACCCTGTGTATTTTAAATACATTGTCATATTTTTCTCTCCCCGCCTATTTTATTTCAGGTGTACTAGTTTCGGCTCATAGCCTTTATCAGGTCCTTTCGTCGACTTTATTCCAAATTCAGCAGAAAGTAGATTTTTGGTGACCTTAAATTTTCTCAATATTGTTACTAAATTTGTTTTTCAGAAACTAGGCAAGGCAAAAGTTTGAAAAACATATCATGGACCTTAACGTATTAATTCGTTTAGTGTTGCCAGTTTGGTGGAAGTCAAAATAACATCAAAACGAAAAATAATATACACAGTGTGCAGTCTCAACCACGTCTCAACCTCACTGACGTTTGATGCAAATCATGGCTTATCTAATCAAGATCATCACGAAAATTGTGATGTTGGACAGTCATTTTTAATTTTTAAAGCATTTTAACATCTAGCAGAACTCGTATAACCGAGAATAACCGAGAAAAAGTAGTAATTGTTATTAAGAACTCCCGAAGTTGTAGGCCACGACTGCAATGGCGGTGGCGGGCGGACGGCAATGATCATCACTTGCTATCAAACCTCTGTCATTATCTAAACATGTTTACCTTATTAGAAGTCAGATGTGTAGAGTAGATTTACATGCTCCATATACTAAATGCATACGTATTTATGTTCTAATACAAGTATCTTTTGTTATATAGGTGGTGTGAGAGCTCCCGAGGAGGACCCATCCGAGAATTGGCTATTTCCCAGCGTCGCTCCGGCCCCTTTGGAGTTAGAAACCCACTCCAGTGCAGGAAATACACTTATATTTCATTCTCATGTCGTAGTGTTGACAGTGCTACTTATCCTCAGGTGACACGTAATTTGTTACGGATCCTCGTAAAAATACAGTGCGACGTTGCAGTGTTGGTACCCTTATTTGGGTTGTGAAATCCATATCAAGATGCAGAAAAGGATACCTAAACATACTTGCAATGGATTCAACTGTGCTGTCATTGATTAAACTGTGCCCAAAACCTAATCGATTGGCAGGGATTTATAATTATTTTGTTAAATAAATTATTATTTTTTCAGTACTTGTTTGTATTATTAAAGCGAATAGACTATATGTTACTGAAAAATTGTAATAATGCAATATAGTTACACATATATTTTGAGTACAACCAATATTTCCTAGGAATTTAATTTTTTAATTGAAACATTCCTCTCGGTTCTGACTTTTTCGCAAATCAAAGGCAACTCTATGTATAGTACTTGTCTAGTCTAATCATCCTTTAACAACTGAAATGTTTCTAGCCAACATTTCCTCCAAGACCCTCTAGTTATATCTAATAATATTTGGAAAGACTGTTCCCATGAAATGTAAATAAAAGTTACCATTGTATTAAGCACCTATGTAACTCCGAATTATGTGTAAGAGTGTGAAACCTAGACCATAAATGTTGTATAAATGAATGTACATATCCTGCTGCTTAGCAGTAAACCTGTTACTCGAATGCAATAAATGACTTTATTACGATTACTGTGTCGTTTTTTAATTTTGTTCCTCCCCTATTTGCCTGCAGCCAGTGAATAAGTAAAGCTAATTTACGAGATAGAATTTTCTCCCCTACTTTGTATCAAATTACGTTGCAATTTGTACTAACAGAGCAAATTGCGACTGTAGTGCACCCTCATACTTAGCTAGTTACCTTAAGATTAGTCTGCCCAATTAAGAATGCGGAGTGGAAATGCAATCAGGAAAACAGATTAGCTTATGTCGCGGTTTAAACTGATTTTTCTTTGCGCTCTGATTTTTGACGTGAAAAAGTATGTGAAATCGTCAATTAAAATAGAGAAAATTTAAAGTTTTCTCGTTACAAGAGTTCGAAGTGGTGAAGAAAAATAACACATTTCCTACGCCGATTCGGTTAGTTTGAAAGTTTAAAGTTCAGAACAGTTGAAGGGTTGGAAATTGTCGAGGTGGAACGTTAGTTGGCTGCACTTTGACCCAAACTTTGAATGGAAATGGACATTGCCATAAACAGGGCAACTCGACTATTAAATGGTTCTTGAACTATGTATTTAAATAAAAAAATCATATTTACCATTTAATTTGTTAATTAATGCTAATAATGAACTATTTTGAAAATGAGAAATATAACTCAAACAGACAGCAGCATTTTATTAAATCTCTCGCTTTTATCGTTACATAACAGGAAAGAGTAATTTAATTTATAAATAAATAATAAATATTTAAGAAAAAGTAGGCAATTTGTCCAGAATTTATTATTTTAGAACAGACAATTAATAGATTTCCTAACTGAAATGCCTCTCAATAATATATATTCTACTAAGTTGGCACGAATTTTTTTGAGCTGCTATTTAAGTGGTAGTATAACTCGACTAGCGCGAAAAGAGAAACAAAAAGGTGTAAGCTGCGAAAGGGCAAAAATAGATAAAAGAGAAGTAATGGTAGCGGGTAATGACGCTGAATAAGTTGGGATTGAATGTGAATGACCACGTAAAATAGAAACCTGAAAAAACAATGAAATGAAAAAAAAAACATGTTTATTTAGAATTCATATCGTTTTTGCCATTTCATTAGTTTTATACCATCGAAACTTCAACGAACGTAAAAGTCATCATCACAAAACATGTAAGTATAAACAAATTGTATGTAATTCAATTGTTTTAACACTGGTAGAATTTGAGTTTACTATCCCAGTCAAAACGTTTTGAAAAGTCCAAACACTTCCAAAATCTGCCAGTGGGTCTGCCATTGTTTGAAATTGTTATAAACTAAGGTGCGATAAAAAATAAAACACTTCTAGTTATTACTCGATGCACAGATGTTTTTGGAACATATGGCGTAGCTAACATCGTACATTTCACAATCGTCAGTGTCAAAATTGTTCTCTCACCATGGCCGACTAGTATAAAGATTATGGCCTGTCCAAAGGAATGTCAAAGGTACATTACGTGCTGCCATCTATTAATAATTCAAAAACGACAAAAGAATTATTAACACCTTTTGAAAGGCACAAAGGCATTCATACCGAAACAAACCACCATTACACGTTTTGAAGTCCCATAATGTCAAGTCAAATTAAAATTTTGCTAAATTATTAAGTGTAATTATTAATAGATGGCAACACGTATCGTACCTCTTGGACAGGCCATAATCTTTATACTAGTCGGCCATGCTCTCACTTCTATCATTGCTCTTATCTGTAGACTATCTGTCACAATTCGAATTATCGTTCTAACCTCAAATTATTGTTACGACCATAGCTACGCCATATGTTCAGAAAACATTTGGGCATCGAGAACTAACTAGAGGTGTTTTTTATTTGATCGCTCGTTATCTTTTGGCCCTCGTGTCAAACTTCAAATCTAATACTACGGTGTTCTCGGTTGTATTTTCAAGGTAGAATCAGCAGGGGCGGCTGGTGCCGGGGGGCACAAGGGCACGTGCCGCTCCAAAATCACAACGTCTACAAACACACTGGACATTATAAAATAATATTTTTAAATATTTAAAAAATTATCCGGAAATTTGTGTCATTTAATTATCAAAACTAATTTTTTTATCTCGCTCCACTTGTATAAAATGTATCAAAACTTACATCATCTTACATCTACAAATGTGTGTCTTGGATATATGATATGTTATTGCTGGGCACAGAGACCGAATCATGGCTGATTTAGATGTTTGGTTTACACCGTTGCCATGGAAATCACACGTCGTAGTCGTCTGATAGAACTGGACTGGGGTCCCGTTCCGACCGTGCTCGGCAGGATTGAGTTACTATCGCGGGTTTTAATTTGCGCGAACACGTATGATAAATATTCTTGGATAATCTTCTTGGTAATACAGACATTCGGAAACAACTGCACACCGCCTATATTAATAATATTCGGGGACATAACGCAAGGGTCGACGCCGATTGACAATGTGCATAAAATTTTGTGTTTGAACTCATTTTAGGTGGACATGACGAAAGTAGGGAATCACAAAATCCAGGTATATTTCGAGGTCTGATTGATTTCAAGGCTGAATTGGACTCTGCTTTATCAAATCATTTGAAAGAAGCAACGGTTTTTAAAAGAACGCCTAAAACTGTTGAAAATTAACTTTTAGATGCCATGAACATAAAATTTTAACCGAAGGCAAAAAGGTATGTGGAAAAATCCTTTTTTACTTTTATTGAATGCATTTTTGTATTTATTTCCCTGACACAATTTCGTCTATTAATTGGTAATAACAACCTGTTCTATATCTTCATATTTAACTCATCAATCAAATTGTGTCCCACATTTCAAAAGGTCACGAGCCGCCACCGAGAAATAGTTAGGTATAGATGTTAAAAATAAATTAAATACATAGTTACTGGTCTAATGCAGTGTTGGTGGTTTTTTTAATTTTGGCAAATACTATACTAACTCCGCTTCAATGACACACTAGGACCAAATACAATTATTCATTGCATGAAAAACGTTCTGATTATTATAAGTTAATTTTTGTAGACTCGTGAAAATCATTCAGGTGCGCAAAAAGCATTACGTACAGTGTAGTCATGTTTTTTCAAATAAAAAATCTAGTCTTAAGTTATTTACACAAAACTTTCTTCGCCCCTGAAGTATAGGCGGACAAATACTAATTCCTGGAAAAATCAATATTTTTTATGATAACCCCTTAATGTTCAGTTTACCTGAACAGGGGTTTGGGCGTAGCCAATTTGTCCACCCTACTCCCACCCGTTTTAGGATAGTTTACCTAATTTTTATTATTTCATGCTCTCGGGGAGTCGTCGAGAAGTATCGAGAGGGTAAAGACGTGCCGACCCGAGAGACCGGCAATTTTTTATAATTTTTGTGCGATTAAAGAAACCGTGTAACTAAAAGGTGATTTTTATTTCGCGCAAAACATTTTGGTCCTTCGAGCCGGATTTCTCGCGGAATTAGTGGTACTGTTCTCGCCTGTATCGTCGATAAAAGCTTCACGTCCAAGACAATCTTGAGTATCGTGACATTCGACGACGACAGCATCCCCAGAACTTCTGCAACAGCTTCACATCCGAAGACGACGACATCCACAAAGCGTAGACGACTTCTTCAGCAGCTTCACGTCCAAGGCAATCTTGAGCATCGTGACATCTGACGACGACACATCGCCAGACTGTAGAGGACTACAACAGCATCGCCAGACCGTAGACGACTTCTTCGGCAGCTTCACGTCCAGGGCAATCCTGAGCATCGTGACATCTGACGACAACCAGTAAGTGCAGTTCATTCCTTTTTTCATTAGTCCTGTATTTCGTATCAGTGTTAAGTAGATTATCGTTGAATCATTAGTGAACAATGACTACTGAAAAACTTTCTGGTTTAAATATTAAGCGGGGAACGCTAAAACGCAAATTAACCATGGCTCAAAACGTAATAAACGAGTTAAAGTCATCTAAAGAAAGCCCAGCTTGTTTGGCAAAAGTACAAGTATGTTTGACTATAACCAGGTCAATTTATGACGAATTTTTCGACATTCAAAGTCAAATTGAGGAACTGGAAATTATTTTAAAACAAACATCTACGGCAGATCAGCGTATCACTTTTGACAAGGAATTTTATATCGTTGTGTGCGAATTAGAAGCATTGGAAGTCAAATATTCAGCCAAATCTGCAAAAAAATATGATATTCCTATCGTTCAAAATAGCGCTGTTAATGTAAAACTGCCAGAATTAACATTTAGAGTAGCAGCAAAATCAACAAATAAAAACATGAAAACAAATTTAAATACCAATTCAAACAGATCAGTAATGTGCCCATATTGTTCTGATCCTCATAATTTATTTTGTTGCGCAAAATTCATTAACCTAACGGTAACAGATAGGTTAAGGATCGTGAGGTCCAAAAAACTATGTTCTAATTGTTTTCAGAACAGTCATAAAGTTACGGAATGTAAATCATCGTATGTCTGTAAAATTTGTAAAAGACATCACAATACGTTGTTGCATTTAGACAATCCCGAGCCGAACGAAATACCAAGTATTAGTAGTGACAATAATCAAGTCGAATCAGATCAATCCATTGTTCTTAAGGCAAATTCTCAACAAGTTTATTTTAGTAAAGTACTTCCAACAGCCCAAGTACAAATTTATGGTAAATTTGGAAATAAACATCAAGTGCGGCCACTGTTAGATAGTGGCTCCGAATTAAATTTTATTTCAGAGCGAAAATTATTAAATCTTAAATCACAACCGAACGTTTTGTCAATCGCTGGTGTCAACCGTTGTAATACTAGTGCCTCACAATTAGCAAGTATTAAAATTAATTCTAATTACCGACATTATGATTTAAACCTTGCATGTGTTATTTTGCCACAAATCTCGGAATTTTTACCATCCAGGACATTTTCAATCGCTAATTTAGAATTTCCGCGCCACAACAAATCACCAGATCCCGCATTTCATGTCAAAGGGACGATAGATTTATTGTTAGGTGCTCAAGCCTTCTTCGAAATTTTACAGCCTAATCGGAGA